GTCCAGGGACCTGCACTGCCTTCAATTGTCCTGGTCCTTCACCCTTTCCAGTGTGGCAGTTTCTCAGGGTTTCTTTGTCTCCAGAAGTTGTGACTCTTGAAGAGCAGCGTGCAGGTGCTTCGTAGGGTGCTCCTCAGTGTGCATTGGTCTGATGTTTTCTCATGAAAAGTGTGAGGTTAGGAATTCCTGGCGAGACTCCTGCAGCCATCACGTGCCCCTCTCAATGCACGACCTCAGGGGCTACCTGAGGCTGCTGTGTCTTCACATTGAACTGGGTCACATCTTAAGGTAGTGTCAGCCGGGTTCCTCGCTATGAAGGTATAATGCAGTTAATGAACGATCTGGGGTGCTGCTTTGAGATTATGCTCATGTTTTCCCAGAGTTTCGCCTATTAATTATAGTATCCAGCAGTGGATTTTGCCTTGTAACAGTTATAACCGTGGTGTTAGTCTAATGGTGATGTTTTAATCTCATCCTTCCATTTTACTTATGGAAATGACAGTTGATTTCTAGATTGTGTAAGTATGCTTATATATCCCATTAAAATTCGGACATAATTTTCTTTCTTTTTTTTTTTTGCGGAATCGGGGATTGAACTCAGGTCCTTGCGCTTGCCAGGCAAGTGCTTATTCTACTGAGCTATCTCCCCAGCCCCCATAATTTTCTTGGAAAAAATTTTTCGATGATTTTTATTATATGTGCTGCCAAAGTGAGTACTATTTTATAATTTTTGACCAAATAGTTTCTGTATTCCTATAATGCCTGGAATATTATTTGAAAGAAATCTCAAAATTGCTTGCATAGTATGATTTTGTTTTGGTAAAAAATTTATGCATATTATATACCTGTGGCTATGTCTGTATGTATGCAGGTTCACATACCTGTACATGTACATATACTTGCATCTGTGTGTATGTATCTGGATGCATAATTACCTTTGTGCCCCTCAAGCATATCCAGACACCCGCATATTCACATATAACTGGGATACTAGAGGAGTCTGGAAGAATATCCTATAATCTAAATTGTTACTAGTAGCTCTTACTCAATAATAGGATGGAAATGAGTTTGATTTTTGTCTTTTTGCTTGTTTGTATTTAAACTTTAAAAAAATAACAAGCATTGTCATTGCAATAAAAAGACACATACACTGTTTAAAAAGTGAAACCATGGTTGGAACTGTCATGGAGCTGTGCCTCCTTCCTGCTTTGGTTCTTGTTTACCCCGCGCTGGGCCTGGCTGACTGTGCCGACCTCTCAGCTTCCTGGCATCTGTCTTCTGCCTGTGGCATGTGTGCAGGTGGCTGTTTTACCCTGGCTAGTCCTTCCACTCAGCACAGCCCTCGTGGCATAACCCCAGTCACCCAGCCAGACCCAGGGCAGCCTAGCCTGAGCCCCAAACTGAAATGGTTAAGTACCTGATGCTGCTTAGTTAGTATTTCCGCTTCCGGTTCACAGTGGATACATAATATGACTTTTGAATTAAATGACATCAGCATGGTCTTCCTGAAGGTAAAAATAATTAAACATTTTGACTTAATATAGTTGCCTTTCACCTTTTTTTTTTTTGGTTGAAAACATGAGCTGACCTCTTCGTCTTTAACCTGGGTGTCTTACTAAAAAGATATTGAGGCTTGATTTTCCATCACTGGTGCTGGTGATTATTGTTATTTGAAGTGCTAGGCCTTGTGCATGCTGAGCAAGTGGTCTACCAGTGAGCTACGTTCCTAGCTCTTCTGGTAGTTATTTCAAAGGTAAAAGATATTGTCAAGTCACAGTTTAAAAAATGAAGGGACAGCCCTGGCTTTGCACTGAGTACTCCAGGGAGCCCTCTGTTGCTGCCCACTGTCTCAGTACAGTACTGTCTCACTCACACTCCATTAGTAAACCGCAGGCTGCATCTAAAACTCAGCCTAGCAAAAGTGCTTTTCCTGAAAGATCAAGCTGGAATCCCATCAACATTCTGGGGCTTTCTCCAGGCACCATTATGCCAGTGTCTTTTTAATTGTTTTTCTTTATGTATCTGGTACAGCGTCTCACTCTGCAGCTCAGGCTCCTAGTCATCCTCCTGTTTCAGCCTCCTCGGTGCTGGGATTACAGGGATGAACCACCAGGCCTGGTATTGGTGGCTGGCTCAGCACAACCTGGGCAGGGCTGGCACGGCGTGTGGTACCGGGGGTCAAACCCGGGTCCTTGCGCTTGCCTAGGCAGCATGCCAGTTATTTTATCCCTAAATGTTTTTGCATTAGCTTTTTTAGCCAGTGAGAAGTTGGTTTGCAAGCCCTGGCCCAGAGCCCTCCCCAGTGGTGCCTCCCATCCCTCTGACACAAGCTAAGTTCTCTTGGCACACTGAGTGGCTCTGTGTTGAAGGATGTGGAGTTCCTTCATTTAGGGCTTGTACATTAATTTCAGTGGTGGGTTGTATTAGGATTATTTCTGGTTTAGATCACATTTTTGCTAATTTGAAGATGTATTTAAGATATTGCTAATTTTAATAGACACTTATTTCTCTTGTGTGGTGGATGGTGGGGAACAGTTAGTCCAGGCTGATGTGATGGCCTCACGTTCATCTGAGATCTGGACTCTTCTGTATTTCTGCTTTACTGACATCTTGGCCTGTGAGTTCCAAACTCATGGCCACTTCTTGGTCCAGAATGGCTGATGGCACTCCAACCATCACACCCTGGAGAAATCACACACACACACACACAGACACACACACAGACACACACACACACACATACACACACACATCTCAGGAGAGGGGAAGGAGAAATCTCACATACACACACACATCTCAGGAGAGAGGAAGGAGAAATCACTCTCTCTCACACACACAGACACACAGACACACCCCTCATTTCCCAGTGGACTACTTTCCTTTTGCCAGCTTCTCATAGATCTTTGTGCAGTTTTCACCTTTCTGGTCAGAACTTGGATACATAGCCGCAGTGACTAGTGACTGGAGAATAAACTCTATTAATAGTGAATAAAGTTGGAAGTGCCTTACTGAAGAGGAAAGGGACAGTGCTGGGAGGCTGCTAGCAGCTTCTGCAGTTGACAGTTCCCTTTCTCAAAGGGAGGGAGGCAGCTGTCTCTTCGTGGAGAGAAGGCTGAATGCTCTGGCAGTTTCTCCTTGTTTCTTTGATTAGAAAGTGGTGTTACACTATTACTGAAGTGTGACTGTTAGGATGCCCTTTTTCCCTTTCACTTTCATGAAACATCTGTCAGGTGTGGAAGGCCATCACTTGATATTGAGTTGAGTCATTTTTTCCCTTTCAGTCACCTGATGTTTTTGTGAATAACTCCTTTTCCAGTGGCTTAGTAGTGACATTGAAACCACTGGGCCATTTGGTTGCAGCCCTCATTATTGATTTCATGAGTGCAGTGGGGAGTTGGGTTCTGAGCCACCTGGGGGCTGCAGAGAACTCACAGGAGCAGGGAGGGATGTTTTAGATCTTCAAGGCAAGACTGGTGGCCAGATACTTGATGTCATTGTACCAGTAGTATATCTCATCAAATGACTTCATCTATTTGTGAAGCTTTTTTTTTTTTTTTAAAAAAAACTTTTGGTTTCCACAAGCAAGGACAAGAAGCATGTAAAATCAATGTGACGTGGGGCTGGTGAGATGGCTCAGTGGTCTAAAGCACCTACTTAGAACAAGCTTAGCAAAGCAAAGGGACCATGGTTCAATCCCCCAGCACCACATGCCAGCCAGCCCCGACCCCTGGTGGGCTGAGCTGGCCACACACACACACACACACACACACACACATAAATAAATAAAAAAAAAATAAAATAAAATCAATGTGACAGAAGAAACAGCAGTGGCACTATTCAGAGAATTTGTATGGTGCTCAGTATCTGTATGCATCCCATCAACTGTAGTTATGAGATGAAATTAACATATGTGTGCTAACTTTTCAAGGGCTTACTAGATTGCTAAAACATACGTACTTAGTTATCTGGGCCTAACACTAAATAAACACAATGCGTAGACATTTCTCTGGCTCTGGGTGGAAAACTGCAGGGATTCTTAGTGGTGCTATGATACTAGAACCTCAGGGGACTTCATGAATGTTTGTGACACACTATGGCCAGAATGTTGCAAAATTTTCTGCTTTCAACCTGTGTCTTGTGAAGCATGAATGCTTGTCTATTGCGTTGTCTTTAGAAAGGTGACAGCAACCTAAGAGCTTGTGAACTCAAGAAAAACACTAATATAAAACTTATTGTTTTATGAGAAAGAAGGAGAGATGGGGAGGAAAAGGATGCTTAATTAGCTTCAGTGTGGCTATTTAACAGTTTTTTTAAAAATGATATACCGAATATGGTATATGTTTAATTAGATGCGCTAGCAGTTGTT